AAGAAGAAGAAGAAGAAGAAGAAGAAGAAGAAGAAGAAGAAGAAGAAGAAGAAGAAGAAGAAGAAGAAGAAGAAGAAGAAGAACAACAACAACAACAACAACAACAACAACAAGTGGAATTCATGACAGTTGTATGTCCTGTCATCTCTTAAGGCCAGGTGAGGTGGGGATATTCTCAGCCTCCAGTCACCTTTGTGTAGTTGGGAGGCTCAGCTTTTTTTGCAGATGTTCAGACCTGGAGTCTCAAAATTTGGCAATTTTAAGACCTGAATTCTGGGAGTTAGTCTGCAGGTTGGACACCCCTGTCTTAGGCCCAGGGCCTGCTTGGGTGCAGCCTTTCTCCCTCTCTCTTTTCAACGTGGCTCTGCCTTCTCTTTCCCCTCCACTCATTCCTGGCATGCTCAGTTGCTCTGGGAGGGTCCCGTGTTGAGGAAGGGGCTTCTGCACTCTTTATATATTTAAGCCCTTCCACAGTGGCAGCTGTTTCACTGGGGAGGGGCGGACAGGACTGAGCGCAGCTGCAGGAAGCTGTTGGTCCAGCTGTCGACACCCGATCTCTTGGAACTGTGCAGGGTCTCCCTGGCGTTCGGTCTGATGCGGTGCATTCTCGACCGTTCCCGGGGGCTAAAGTTTTATTTACTTCGCAAATTGGGCTTCCCTCCCAGGAGCTCCGCCTTGCCAGAAGGCCTGGGTGAAATGGCAAGAGCAGCCCTTTGGGTGCTTTGAGGTTCCTCTCCCAAGTTGAGCATGGCCCACGAGAACTTTGCCTCTTATTCTGAAGGCAGCACTGTTCCGCCTCTTAATCTAGATGTGGAACAGGGAAGGAGGAGATTGTGGTGGAACGTTTATGGATGACCCCCCCCCCCACACACACAGCCCACATTCGGGGCATTCAGGCAGCTTCTATTTCTCTTTTGCCTGGGGGCTTTCCAGAATCCAGGTAGTCCTCAACGTACGGCCACAACTGAGCCCAAAATTCCCATTGCTAAGCGAGACGGTCGTTAAGTGACTTGCCCCATCTGACAACCTTTTTTGCCACCGTTGTGATTTGCTAAGTTAGGAACAGGGTTGTTAAGTGAATCTGGCTTGTCAGAAGGACACAAAAGGGGAATCACGTGGACCCCCGTCATAAACGTGAGCCAGCTGCTAAGAGTGAATATTGGTCACGAGGGTGTTAAAAAACGGTCGCAAGTGTGAAAAGCGGTCATAAGTCGCTTGCGTCAGTGCCGTTGTAACGTCAGACGGTCTCTAAATGAACTGTTGTTAAGTGGGTTAGTTAAGAAATTCAAAGACGCCAAGAATAAGCCTTGATTAAGCCTGCAATTCTAGCTCCCTTCCGCTGGAGTGACAGCCTTCAGCTGCCCCTGTTGTTGTCCAGGGTTTTGGATCTCCCTCCTGAATCTTGATGCTGCTGAGCTTCATGCAACTTGGTTTCCCAGCCTGGTGTTAACTCTGGTGCCCATCATCTTGCCAGCCTCTTCTCCGGCTCTCGCTCTTGTCAGCCAGGAGCCAAAAACAGTTGGATGCCAAGAGGGAGTTCTGCATTCCCTCTGCGACAGGAGCCAGAAATGTTGCACAAAGTCATTGAGGCGGAGAGAGTTGGGATCTAATTTAAACACTGTGTGTGTGTGTGTGGGTCTGGAGGGGGGGCAACCACGCTGGTGGGAGAGGATCTGAGAAGCCCTTGTTTCTGTTAAATGTCAGTCTAATGTTCTGCTTTGTGGGAGCAAGGAGAGTCAGTTCATGAAAAAACGCCTTTCTTCTACCAACCCCCATCTCTTCCCCCTTCCCCCCCCCAGCAGGAAAAACAGCAGTTTGGGGTGGGGGTGTCCCTCTCCCCATAATTTGTGAGTTTTGCTGGGAAGGCAAGGCTGCCAAGAGCAGGGGCAATGGGCACCCTCCCGAGGGCATCAGCCGGGAACTTGGCAGCCACAAGAAAGTGACAGGTCATTTCAAATGGTTCATGTAGCCAAAAGGGGAACCGATTCCCTAGTTGGCAAGCCGGAGTTTCAGAAAGAGAAAGGAGAAACGGCGTTTTTTAACAGGCACCAAGCTCCTGAGTTAAAACAAGATTTGTGAGAGGAAAGTGGCATTCTGGTTTTTCAAGTCCCTTTCGAAAGAGGGACAGAAAATGGGACAGAGCAGACGGATCAATCCGTGCGAGACCCACCAGGAACTGGGCTGAGTCCAACTCACACGCATCTCCAGCCAACACTTTGCTGAATCCAAATAAGCTGCATGAAGATTTGTGGAAATGGCCGGCTGATGCTCTCGTCCAGCTGCCTAGAGATGCACCATTTTTGTACAAACTATTTTTTCATCCTGAACAGATGGTACCGAAGCTTTATTTTGGGTTACAGGCCTTGGAAGGGTGTTCTTCCTTCTTCCACCACTGAAGCCCCTTGTGATGAGTTTGCCTTGACCTCTCCAACTCTTGTTGGAGATGTTCCTAGGCTTCTCTCTCATCCCTTCCCATCGGTTCTTGTCCTCCTTCTCAGTTGTCCATCTTTCTCCTCTGATCCAGTCCTAAAGCACCCAAGAATTCCGTGCATTTGAAGAAGAAACAGATTCTCTGCGGGAGCATCAGCATTTCCAGGAACTGAGATCCAAGGTATAGGATCAGTTGGATTCCTGGAAGGTCTGGATGACTTTCAAAGGGAAGACTGGTGATGTTCCAGTGTAAGTTGATCGTTGTGTTCCAGAAGAACCATTCTTCTCTTGAGGATGAAGGTCCAGAACTCTTTGTAGCAGTAGAAGAGCCTCAAGGGACCAACTGCTGGAAGACTGATAGACTTCCTTCTGCAGTTGGTGGCCACTGGGAGACAAAATCCAATCTTAACTTCTTATGTTCTTCGGCTGTGAGCGGCTAACTCGGCTGTCCAGAAAGGCCGTTGGGAGCCAGGACTGATCCGTGTGTCTGATTCCTGAACCAGCTTTTGTTCCTTGCTGGTTCTTCCTGTTGGGAGCTAATGCCAGTGTCTGAACTTGGGCTTCCGAAGGCAAACCAGCCTTTCAATTCATAATCTTTATATTGCCTGTAGCCTTTATTTATACCCCAAAGGTCTCAAAAGCGACCAATAAAATGGGTTCCGAATGATGCCAAGTCCGAGCTCTGCAGGCATTTGCATAGTTCTTCGTGCCAGTTTATTATTAAAAGGCTGAAACAGCTCAAGATTGAAGTTTGGCCCTGATGCCGGGATGATTTAATACACTTAATGGAGTCTCATGGCCACCGGAAAAAAATGCTAACTAAAACTTTGGAGATTAAATTCCTGTAAGATATTTGGAGCAAGTTGGTGTGGATGAGCTCAGGGAAAGGGGAGCCGGGCGTGGAAAGGAGCTGACAAGGGGCCGTTGGGC